TTCCTGAGTCAGGTAGGCGATCTCTACCACCAAGGCCTCAGATATTCTCCACACTGTTTACTCAACCCAACCTCTTGAGCCCTGATATTTTTTCTGGACAATCTGGTAGACACTTCTATATATTAAAAATTTGAACTTCTTGGACCAAGCAAAGCGTGCCTCCCAGGCTGCCTTATCCAGTTAAAGGCTCTCCAGTCTCCCAATTACCCAGCGTAAAGCACCAGCATCATTTTGATCAGCCTGCTCCTGCTACATGCTCAGAAAGGGATATTTCCAGTGGCGAGGCAGAGCACTGAGCACGGCTGTGCCTGAGCAGTGCGACCGTCAGAGTTAATAGAAGCTTTGTGGGAACATTCAAAAGTCCAACAATAAAGATTGGCTAGATGAATCCTAGTACAATCCATCATGATGAAGAACAAAGCAACCTTTAAAATGAAAATGTAAGAAAATAGTTACACCCAGAAAGGTATAGAACTATGAAAAGAGTGATTTGGTTTTTTTCCAAACTATCTGTTTACATGAATGAAAAGACTAGGAGAGAACTTGCAACAAAGTATTATCAGTGATTACGTCAAGTTGGTCTTATTTTTTCCCATTTTTGTGATTTCTTTACTAACTTTATTTTGACTGAGAATATATTACCTTTATAACCAGAAGTAGGGAAAAAGGCTGAATTCAGATATCCCTTCAACACTTTTCCCCTCATACGTTTACTGATTCATGCTGAGCCGGCTGCTCCTTTCAGCATCCAAAACAGTTATTAGCTCACTCATTTCATTCATTCAAAAAATGCACACTGATTGCTCCTGTGTGCCTAGCATTGTGTTAGATTCTGGAAAGACAGCTATGAAAAACACAAATGATAAACCATAAAATAAACAAGTTACCATTTCTTCCTGGAATTAACACTCTCTGTTGGCAAAGACAGGCAAAAAGCAATAAACAAACAACCAAAGAAGATAAATATCAAATAGTGATAAATAAACTCTAAGAAGATCATTAAAGCAGAGCAATCTAATAGAAAATTTCTGTGTGGCTAATTGAGCTGGAGGTGGTCAAGGAAGTTCTTTCTGAAGAGCTAACATTTCATCTTAAAGCTGAAGAACCCAGATTAGGAAAAAGAATCTTCCAGGCAAAGGTAAGTGTGCAAAAAACAAACAAACAAACAAAAATCAGTGTCAGGAATAATCTTGGAACGTCGTTAAAGATTTGTGTGGCTGGAGCCATCCTTGAGGGGAGGTGGGAGGTAGTGCAATTTCAAGGGCTCAAACACGTAGGGCTTGGCTCTATATCATAGTTCTCACTTTATTTTACAACTGATTTTTTAAATAACATCACACTAAGCATCTTGAGACCAGAATCTTAGTCTTCCTTGTATCTGTTACCTGGCACACAGTACAACCTCACTATATACCTGTTGGATAAATGAATGAATAAGTGAATGGACCTTACATTGATAAAAGATAGAATGTTCTTTGAAATAAATGTTAGGCTTTTAAACTATTCATTTTCATGATCGCTATCTCTATGATTTGCATTTTCACTTGGAGAGCAATCCCCTCTCTGTAACATACATGAACATACACACGGATGCATGCATTCCTGAAATTGTAATGAAAGACAGTTGAAAAAATATGACCTGATCTACAAATATTTGCTAAGTCCAGAACATTCTAGTAATATAGCAAGGAAAGCAACATTTACCAAGCAGGACTTTAGGGCTGCAGAAAGAGTGCAGGCTTGGGAGTTGTTCCAGCCTGGTTTTGAATACTGGGCCTCTTCTTTCCCAGCTCTGGGCTATCAGACATTTCGCACACACCCTCTGAGCCTCAGTTTCCACTCCTGTAAGATGATATTATAATATTGATAGAGCAACCAACTGCCTTAGTTTGTCCTGGACTGAGAAGGTCCCTGGGACTCAGAAATTTCAGTGGTAAAATCAGGACAGTCCTAGGCAAACCAGGATGAATTGGTCGCCCTAAGTATCAACCACATGTAGTTGTAAGATAATATGTGCCCATTCATACGCAGTTGACTGTGCCAGGCACATAGTAGGTTTGCAAATAACAGTTATTAATATAGTAAGAGGTCCATCGAGCCAAGCACTGCCCCTTCTTCTGTGCATGTCATGGCCAGAGGTGGACATGATTGACCTCGTATTTATAGGAAAAGGCAAAGAGTCTCAAAAACTCTAATGACCTATTAAGGACACAGTAAATGAAGGAGCTGGGATTCAAACTTAGGGTCTGCCTGAGCTCAGAGCCAAAGCTCTTTCCTTTTTACAGTGCTGCAGCTGTGGAGGCCAAGTATATTTTCAGCAACCAAAACAATTCCAACAGTTTTCATTTTTGTGCTATTTTCCCAAAGTATAAATGTTCTCTTTTAGAAACAGCATTGCAAAGTCGTGAGATTGTTGAGATCATTCTGTGAATGTGAAATTTTGAAAGCACTTACTTAATTGTGGTTTAGGGAGAAGGCATACTTCATTGAAAATTATTTGGGAATTTTTCTTTTTTTTCACCAGACAAGGTTTCGATTCAACAATGTGGCAAGGACATCTTTAACTATGCAAGAAAATAATTCGCCACATACTTGTTCGTGCTTGATGAGATTCTCAATAAAGCTTTTGATGGAGATTTCTGGTATTAGATTTCTTCCCCAGCATTTCCTTGCAGGTACACATTGTCATTCTTTTGAACGGGTTTCACTCCAAAATGCTCAATATCGTAAATCAAATCATCAAAAGAGTAAGTCGTTTGGGTTGCATGCTCTTAGGCTTAGTCTGAAGATTCATAATTGTTGGAAGTGTATTCACGGTAACCACCTGCATGGTCCTCACCTACAGTGCGATGCTGTCTGGACCACGGAGGGATCACCAAGTTCAATTACCACCTCGATAGCACTGCTGGCACTTGCTGAACTCTGAATAATGAAGAATTCTCTGCAGCCATCCAGCTGAGGACTATGAATTACTGTTACATTAAGCCATCTGTTCTGGGGATAATCTGGCATTGCAAAGTGTAAGGATAGCAATGCTGTATCATTCTTCCTAAGGATATGTATCTATCTTTCTCCTTAGAACAAGAAAATGAAGGTCTGAATTTCAGCCCAGGGAGCTCAACAAAAGAATATATAATTCCATTCAAATGGCAGAGTTTCACAGAACAAACAACCCATCAGTTCTATTGGAAGGAGCCTTGAAATAAATGTTTTATAACCCAAGAAGAGGATGTTGCTTGGACTTATATTTTATTAGTAAAATCTGAGAAGCCAGTTTTGCTTGTAGGATAGATTCTGAAGTCTGGAAGAGGCTTCAAAGTTCTTAGAGTGGGTTAGATGAGGGTCAAAGGCTCCAAGCTGACCTAGATTCGTCTTGCTGAAGCAAGGCCACCCGCAAGATCCTTGGAGGACCTTGGCAGAGGAGAGCCTAGGAAACCTGAGTTCTATTTCCTCTGAAAGTTCAGCATTGAGGATATTCTCTGATACTTCGAAGAGTATCTCGGGCGCCATATAGGATCCTATCGAGTGTGCCCTGCCGTCTCCCCAAACTCCGTGTCCTTATCCAAGAATCTACTTTCAGTTCACCTTCTCTAAGATGACTTCTTGACTGGCATCATTTTCACTCCCAACAGAACTGGCTTCTCCCCACTTTGTGCCCAGCTGCTCCTTGTCACATTTACCATCATAGCCACTAAAACACACAGCCGCTACTTCAGCTTTTAGTTTTCATGTCTGTCTCCCACTAAACTCTGAGCTCTACAAGGGCAAGGATATTGTCTGCTTTTCTCACCATTGCTCACACTGCGTTTCTTGAGCATTGCTATCATATTTCTCCAAATATCTGAGCACAATGAACACATACAGCAGAAATCCAGCATTTCAGGCCAAAGTTTCCACGGCATGCCACACTTTTCTCTCAAAAATTTGGGTAAATCTTGACGTCTCTTTAATATATCCATGTATTTTTTTAATAGAAAAGTAAAATCTAACATTTCTAATTGGCCGTAAGGAATATAGTCAATAATACAGTAATAACTATGTATAGTGCCAGGTGGGTGCCAGACTAATCAGGGGAATCACCTCGTAAATTATAATAAATAAATAAATAATTTCGAATTGGTTGACTTATTCATGTTTTCCACCCAAATTTCAAGTAGAATCGATGCTCCAGAATGATGTACAACATTTACGCTGAAACCTCTTGTCTCTCCCTACATTCTTCACACAGTCAAATGAGCAGTAATAATAACAATAATTCCGAATTTTATCTCGTTTTAGGTGCCATCGGTTGTCAGAAAGCAAAGCCATGTCCTAGTTGCTTGGCTTCTGGATTTCCGCGTCCACAAAATGAGGATGTCGAATTCAGCAACTTCATAGTGACACTTATAGGATACTACCATGTGCCGCGCTCCTATAAATATCATCTTTATAATTTTATTTCTCCTCACAATGACCTTGTGAGACGAGTATCACTGCCCTGTTTTACAGAGGAGACTGCGAAGGATTCGAACCGGGGGTGGCTGGCTGTAGAGGTGGTTGCAGCGTCGCTTACCACCAGCCCCCAAGAGCTTGCTGGGCTCTTCCTCCTCCTCTTCTCTTCTGTTATAATGAGCATTCTAAAGGCTGAACTCGTTTCAATGGAAGCCCTTCTATTTTTTTGGATTAGAAAATAACCACTGTAGCTTTCGGATTTATTCTGGTCTCTCTAGGCACTGAGATGATGAAATAATCAGGGCAGGTGTTAATTAAAACTATGTACACAACATCGTCTATACTGGCAGAGATGTGAAAAGGTTGACCAAGAAACCGGCTATTAAAACTATATCCCAGCAATCAATAAATCTGACTTGTTGTTGTTGTTGTTGTTGTTGT